ATGCTTGATCTGTGGAAATTCCACCTAGCACCCAGTGCTGCAATAAAGAAGTGCCTACTTTTTAATGCTACATTGGTTTTAAGGAGTTTTATTCTCCTGACTTTGGGTGACAGCCCAGACAGTGGCACAATGAAAGCAGCTGCTCTGTACTTTGCTTTGCCTTGGATCATAGGCAGTTTAGCTGAGAGAAATCCATTTTTTGAATTATCTGCCTACAGTGCATTCCCTGATCCCAAAAATCATAGGTAGAGCAGGGTGGCCTGCGGCACCCAGTGGGTGGTGGTGGATAGAGCCACAAGACTCTGACTGCTTGCTTCATTGTCTCCACGCATTAACAGCACTTGTGGCCATCTCTGACCGTATTCCTGGAATGTGAGTAGAAGTTCTGAAAGTACTGCTACTTCTGAAACCTGGCTGGCTGGCTGAAACCTGTATGCTACAAACGGAGCTCAGAGGGAGGTAATTCAAGTCAGCAATCAGGGTGATCCATTACCCTGACTGAAACTCACCCATAGCCCAGCTTCCCATGACCTTTAGCACCCAGAGAGGTGGCTTTGTGGTTGGCAAGGGACGTTGCCAAAGTCAAGATCTCTGTCCCTCTTTGTCTCTTTGTACCTGTTAAGTATTACTGCCCTTGGATGCTCTCTCTACACTTGCTTGGGAACAGGGGTTGCCTTTGTACAAGACCTTGCATGATGGGGTTCTGCGCTGAGGTGAAGGCTCCACTATACTAAATGAAGTAGCACAGATAAGTCAGTTACTAGCTGAAGCAGTAACAAACTCTATAGATCAGCAATGGTACCAAAGACAGTGGTGTGTTATTCAGAAGACTGCACAACTACATTAATTCTTTACTGCAATTAGAGAAAAAACAGTTATCTATGAAGTCCTACTGTTAATAGATTACCCAGAATGAAAGCACTCAGAAGAGTTCAGAGGGGCTAGCAAGGCAATCTCCACTCCTGCCTGGTGCACTATAACCTTCTCTCCCCAGTGATCGAGCACACTGAGACTAGTCTACTTTTCAGGATTGTCCTCATGTACACACAGTAGTACCACACAGACTGGGAAGCCAGTGGGGTTTGCAGTGGAGGATGCAATAACATGGCTGGAGCTGCTGAGTTTGAAGCTGTTGTGTTGTGACATGCTTTGAAGTGTCATGAACTGTAATCCACAAAAGGAGGCTCTCCTCTATCTGCGTCCACCACTTCTAGACAGAGCCACGTAAGGCATTCCCATCCCCAAGGTAAGATCAGACATAATACCAGCTCCTTGAAACCATTATCAATTGCAGACCAATTGTTGGTAACAGACATCCCAAGAACTACTACTTGCAACAGAGCTATGGAATCACAGAACCATTAAGGATGGAAGCGACCTCTGTACGTCACCCAGTCCAACTCCCTGCCAAGGCAGGGCTACTCAGAGCAAGTTACACAGGAACATGTCCAGGTGGGTTTTGAATGTCTCCAGATAGGGAGACTCCACAACCCCCCTGAGCAGTTTGTTCCAGGGTTCTGACAACCTCAATGTAAAGAACCTTTTCCTCATGTTGAGATGAAACTTCTTGTGTTTTAGTTTATGGCCATTGCTCCTTGTGCTGTTGCTGGGCACCACTGATGAGTCTGGCACCATCCTCCTGGCACCCACCTTTGAGATATTCATCTGCATTAATGAGATCCCCTCTCAGTTTGCACTTCTCTGGACTAAACAGGCCCAGCTCCAGCAACCTCTCCTCATAAGAAAGCTACTTCAAACCCCTGATGATCCTTGTGGGCCTCCCCTGGACCCTTTCCAGTAGCTATTTGTCTTTCTTGTACCAAAGAGTCCAGACACAGTTCCCCAGATGTGGCCTCACCAGGGTCAGGTAGTGGGGGAGGATTACCTCCCTCAACCTGCTGCCACACTTCCCAGTGTACCCCAGGACACTCTTGTCCCAGGGGCTGGCTCAAAGTCAATTTGTCATCCACCGACACTCCCAGGTCCTTCTCAGCTGAACTGCTCCCTAGTAGGTCAACCCCCAGCCTGTGCTGGAATTCAGGGTTCTTCCTCCCCATGTGTTCCCCTTCCTACACTTGCCCTTGTTGAACCTCATTCTCCCCACCCAATCCTCCAGCCTATCAAGGTCCTGCCGAATTGCAGCACAGCTTCAGGTGTATCAGAGAGTCCATCCAGCTCTGTATCATCAGCAAACTTGCTGAAGGGACACTGTAACCCTTAGGTTACTGTGTCTGAATGCCACTGAATGGCACTGTACAATTTCTCTGTGCCTTATTATGTAGGGCTGTTTTATGTCTGAGGGAAAGCACTGGGCTGAGGAGAAAGGTTTGTGATATATACATGACTCTCCTCCATGACAGCTACATCTAACCAGAACTCCCGTTCCATGCCCCCATGCAAGTGTACTGCCTGCACCACAGCTCCCCAAGTTCACACCCACAGGTCAACCAGACCAGGCAGCTTCTAGGCTGCTTTGCTGTATTCTTAACCCTAGGGTGGAGAGAGCTGTCTTCCAGCCCTTGAGGATCAGAGACTCAGGTGGTACTGATTCTGGATTGGCAGCAGGAAGACTTAACCCAGAAGAAACCGTGTAAATATGTGTTAAGGTTTAGACAAAGAACTGTCTTGTTCTCAGTAGATGACAGAATGGACAAAGGCCAAAGGACGCCAGAGGAGGAGGAGAACATGCTTTGGCCAAGAGCATTTATCTCAACTAGAGTTGGCAATGAAACTAACTTTTATGGTGTCCTGGACTGCCTTCATTGATATTAAAAAAAAAATCACACTTCTTTGAGACCCTTGCCCACAGAGACACTTACTCACAGAACATGCATGGTGAAATAAATCAATACTATGCCTTTAAAAGGAGATGGGAGAACAGAAGAGCCAACGATTGCACATTACTGACCAGTCATTGTAACTCGACTGTACTACCTTGTAACTTTTGTGTATAAATGTAACCTACAAGCCAGCATTGGGTGTGCTCGATTTGTATCACAGTATCACAGTATGCTGGAGATTGGAAGGGACCTCAAAAGATCATCTAGTCCAATCCCCCTGCCAGAGCAGGAACACCTAGATAATGTTACACAGGAATGAGTCCAGGCGGGCTTTGAATGTCCCCAGGGAAGGAGACTCCACAACCTCCCTGGGCAGCCTGTTCCAGTGTTCCGTCACCCTCACTGAGAAGAAGTTCCTTCTCAAGTTTAAGTGGAACCTCTTGTGTTCCAGTTTGTACCCATTACCCCTTGTCCTATCATTGTTTGCCACTGAGTAGAGCCTGGCTCCATCCTCGTGACACTCCCCCTTTATATATTTATAGACACTTATAAGGTCACCCCTCAGTCTCCTCTTCTCTAAACTATAAAGACCCAGCTCCCTCAGTCTTTCCTCATAAGGGAGATGCTCCACTCCCTTAATCATCTTGGTTGCCCTGCGCTGGACTCTCTCCAGCAGCTCCCTGTCCTTCTTGAACTGAGGGGCCCAGAACTGGACACAATATTCCAGATGGGGTCTCACCAGGGCAGAGTAGAGGGGAAGGAGGACCTCTCTCGACCTACTAACCACCGCCCTTCTAATACATCCCAGGATGCCATTGGCCTTCTTAGCCACAAGGGCACAGTGTTGGCTCATGGTCATCCTGTCGTCCACTAGGACCCCCAGGTCCCTCTCCCCTACACTGCTCTCTAGCAGGTCGTTCCCCAACCTATACTGGAACCTGGGGTTGTTCCTGCCCAGATGCAGGACTCTACACTTTCCCTTGTTATATTTCATCCCGTTATTCCCTGCCCAACTCTCCAGCCTGTCCAGGTCTCGCTGGATGGCAGCACAGCCTTCTGGCGTGTCAGCCACTCCTCCCAGCTTAGTGTCATCAGCAAACTTGCTGATAGTACACTCAATTCCCTCATCTAAATCATTGATGAATATATTAAATAATACCGGTCCCAGTACTGACCCTTGAGGCACTCCACTAGTTACAGGCCTCCAACTAGACTCAGCCCCATAGACTACAACTCTCTGGCTTCTCTCCTTCAGCCAGTTCGCAGTCCACCTCACTACCTGGTCATCCAGTCCACACTTCCTCAATTTAGCCGTGAGGATGCTGTGGGAGACTGTGTCAAAGGCTTTGCTGAAGTCAAGGTAGACCACATCCACCGCTCTGCCATCATCCATCCACCGTGTTATTTCCTCATAAAAGGCTAAGAGATTGGTCAAACATGATTTCCCCCTGGTGAAGCCATGTTGACTGCCCCTCATAACCCTCTTATCCTTGATATGCTTTAAGATGGCACCAAGGACAAGGTGTTCCATCACTTTCCCAGGGATGGAGGTGAGGCTGACCGGTCTATAGTTACCCGGGTCCTCCTTCTTGCCCTTTTTGAAGACCAATTGTAGACATTGTAGAAATGTCCCAAGCAACCTTCTGAAAATAAACGTTGTCTCCTCTCTGAACAGAGCTGGAGTGTGTTTCGAGACTTCTTTTCCAAACAGGCAGCAGCTCAGCTCCCCACCAAAGACCCATCTCTGCCGCAAGAAACAGCAGGCTACTGTCTGCAATCTGGCAGGAGCAAAAGAAACACGCACTGCTGCTGGCAGAACCATCGAATCACCCACTGGTTTGAGTTGGAAGGGGCTTTGAAGACCGGAGTTCCAACCAGTGGAACTCTCCCTGCGGAAATCTCACACACCCCACCCCACCCCGAGCTCGCTCCCCCTAATAGGCGCCCGTGTCCCGGCTTTCAGCCTAGCACAAGAGGCTGACGCGCGACCCCAGAAGAGAGGCAGGACGCGAGCGCACAAGAAGCGGAAGCACGGCACCCGTAAGAAGCTGGACGCAAGCGCAAGGCAGGAGCAACTACAGCCTCGGAAGAGGCAGCATGCGATCGCAGGAGAGGCGGAAGCGCGGCGCCGGAAGGGGTATAACGTAAGCACGCAGCACGCTCTCAGCCGCGGGGGGAGCCGCCGCAGTACTGCCGCTGCAATCTGCCGCGTCCGCGCGCCTCTTCGCGCTCGCTCCGCCGCCCACCCTGTGCACGTGAGGCCAGCGCGCGTGGCTCTTCGCGCCAGCCGCAGCGGCGCGCGGGGACGCCGGCGTGAGCATGTTCCGCATCGAGGGCCTGGGGCCCAAAATGGACCCGGAGGAGCTGAAGCGGAAGATGCGCCGCGACGTCCTCACCTCCGTCCGCAACTTCCTCATCTATGTCGCGCTGCTGCGGATCAGTGAGTGCGCGGCGTGGTCGGGTCGGGTCTGGTCCGGTGGCAGCCAGGGCCTGCGTGTGCCGGTGGCTGGGCACGTCCTCACGGGGGCGGGAGAGCTTCGGCATCCCGGCGGGGCCTGGGCGAACTCCGCGGTTCTGGGCTTCCCCAGAGCATGGAAGAACATCGCCATGCTGCCTCTTCTTGCAGGCAGTGCTGTAACTTGTTGCATCAGAGCTTTTCTTCAGGGTGCTCTTCACTCCGTTTCTGTGATTCCGCCTGCGCCCGGTGGTGTCGAGCGCTTGCCCACGGCGTTGAACTGCAACACAAGCGGCGTACCCTGTTCCCCCTTGAATCATGCTACTTCACCCGTTAAAGCAGTCATGCAGGGAGAGAAGGGACGATGTGGGAGGCGGGGGGTGGTATCGCACCCAAAGTCTGAATATTTTAGATGCCACATAAACGTGTTGTAGTTTCATCGCAGACTCGCTGTAAACTTCCTGTTACTCTCAGCTGAGTTAAGTTCATGTGGCTTTATTTTCTTTTTTCAGCTCCTTTCATCCTGAAGAAGCTGGACAGTATATGAACATTTAAGTCTCAGTGTATGAAAACATAAAATGGACTGTAGCTGCTTTCCTGTTTGCTAATTAAGTATTGTGATAGAGGCAGACATCCAATACTAAATGGTTCTAAAATGTTCACTTAAGCATATCTGACCTGAGAAGGATAGCCAGGAAGATGCCTGTTCCTGCAGGTGAATTCTGGTCAAAGAATACTCCCTAGTGTCACCAAGTAACGACTTGTGATGGAACATTTCTTGTACTGTTTTGAAAAACCCTTCACCTCCATTTTATACAAAGTGTTAAATGTTAGTAATTTCTTTTTATTATGCAGCTACCTCTAAATTGCCACATGCTATCAATGTTACTGAACCTGTCTGTATGAAAAACAAAGTTGTTAAAGAATCCAGCTTGAAAAATGAAGTTAATGAATCCAGCTCACAGCAGCTTGATTTGAAATAAATGGAAGAGTAGTTTGTCACTTAACTCTGGTAGTGATTTGTTTTTAATACTCATCACTTAAGCTACAGGTCATCTGGTATTATATCTCTGGTTCTTGTCTTAACCTTGCTCCCTCCTCCACCTTAAAAATCAACTTATATTGAGGAAAAGCAAGAGAGAGTGAAAAAAGACAAGGTAATGGTGTGTTTTTCAGGTTGCTAAATGTGTACCTGAAGCAACTGAGAGACATGATCATTTAGTCAAGATTCAGAGAAATGAAGACATGTGCTAAAGCTTTATCCAGCAGATCTGTACCAGTTTTCCCTTCAATTAGAACCTCCTGGGTCTTGAATTTCCACAAAGAAAAGCAGGAACACCACCATATTTCTTCTTTAAGAGGTAACCAAATTTTAGTCACAACAGTCTTTTTACAATGCCTGTTACTGCCTCTTGCCAGTACTGACAGTGGTTTGGGTGGTCTGTTAGTTTGTTGTTTTTTTTTAATTTAGTATCATGAATCAAGCTTGTTTTACCATGACAAATTGCTGTATTCTGGTAGTTCAAGAGTATTATTTTACTCCAAGGCTGCCTGCAATATTATTGCCTTGCACTGCCTATGCTGATGTCAAAATAGGGGGTATTTCCTCAGAGAAACAGCTTGCTTTACAAAGGAGATTGTGATTGTCCTCTCTGAAAGGGGTTTAGTAAACTTTGTACTAATGCTTATTAGTATCGGCCCTATACCAAGTTACCAAAGCAGGAGTTGGATTTTCAGTTGTTTTGGTTTGCCTAAGTCTTAAAAGATGCATTTAGGATTTGACTTGATATCCCTTAGATCAGCTGCACACTAAATCTCCAGAGAGGCTTAAATGTTTCTCAGACTTGTACTTAATGCCTGGAAATAACTTAGGGGAGTGCAAGCAAAGCCACTTGTAAAAAGGCACACTGAGTACTTGCCCCTGAGACAGGTAGGGGTTGAAAGTGCAGTTCATGAATGGCAGGCTGGGAAACTGGGTATTAATTTGGAAGCATAACAAATTAATCTGAAGACTTCTAACCAGAGCTGATGCATAGCCCTGGAGCCTTGGATGCCCACTGCAGTCAAATAATCCAGTCCTATTTAATTCTCAGGATTTTTCGGAGAAATTAAAGTAAGGATATTCCTGAGCTTATTGTTCTGATATCTTTGTAAAATAGAGCAAGCGTAACTGAATAAATTGTGGAATTATATTATCCAGTTACTAATTAAAATTAAGTTAATGCAGCAGGTAACTGCATTGGAGTTGCAATGTTGATGGTGGGAGTAATGAGATACATTAAAGAGTTTGGCTCTGCCTGTGCTGGCCAGAATCTTCAGCCACCCTGTCCTCTGCCCAGCTCTGGAGAATGAAACACTGGAATCCCTTTTGGTGTTGGGTCTTCGTGCAAGGTCAGGAGATAGAGGGGTGGAGTACTCAAGCAGTGTAAGGATGTGAAGGTTTCTAGCAAGCAACTTCACTTTATCCTTAAAATCATGTATGGCACTTTGTCCACTTGCAGGCACGTTTCAAGGCATAACACAGCTGACATGTCAGCAGTTCTTCAAACTGGCTGTTGAGAACTGTTAAAGACACTTCTAGGAACTTGCTTTCAGGCACATTGAGAGATGAAGCCATCTCTTTATTAAAATAGCAGAAAATAAATGGCTGGTATTTTTCTGATGACTCTGGTTTTCTGCAATCTCATGTGCCAGGCAACTGCATTATCAGCAGCCTTCTTGCAGGAGGGGAGAGATCTCCAGCAGGAGAGTGAGTGGGGTGTCAGACTGCAGTCTGGCTGATGACTCATCTGTTGCCTTTTCACTTCTATGGCCTGTTCTGCTGAAGTGTAAGATGTGCTGCTGCTGTGTGGTGTCAGACCCTGCAGAAACATCTCATCACAGAGTGCCTATGTCAAGTATAGGGTCAGGATAGCAAGACAAGTAAAACATAAGTCCTTGTGAAGTTCAGAGCTCAGCTTATCCTGTAGGTACCTTTTTCCAGGTGATGTTATGACTGTTGGCAGTAGGAGGAAAACATTCTGATTTTTCCACACATTCTAGGCCTTAGTAACAGAGTTTTATTTCTGCTCTGTCTCAGGGACCGATGTCATCCATTTGTGATGGAAGTCTTGAGTGTTGAGGACAGTCTAAACCTATGTCACACTCAGTGTGGAGTCCTCATCTGTTTGACTATAGTTAACGTGATGCAAGCAGGTTGCAAGCTTGCCTTAGGTAAAGGATGTTAAGACTGAAAAAAAGTTGATCCTAAGTCCAGCATGAGACCATATCAGCATGACATTTCCGTGCACTTATGCTTCTCAGAGCTGTTTTGGCATTTTCTAAAATAAGCTTACCTTCATAATACTTTTGAACCTGAAGATTTGTGCATCACCCATTGCATGAAAGGATAATAATGTTAGTGATCTATGCTACTCAGTATTCAAATTAAAGCAGAACATTAAATAGCTTAACTCAGGTAACTGCAGCTTTGTATCTAAAACTGAATAGTCTGTGTGGCTCTCATGCATGAAGACCTTTTGCACTTTTTTACAAAGTGGTATTCTGGGCCTCAAACATGCAGCTAGAGAAGTCCTTTGTCCAATGCTTTCCCCATTTACAACTTTCCTTTTCAGTGACAAGGTTGTGTAACAGGCTTTTTCTGTGGCTGCCTAGTTCAGAAACTAAAGAAATTGATAGTATTTTTTTGTCCGAACATAGTTGATATATATACCAGACAAGAACCTATTAGGCATGTGCAAATATTCACTTAAATTGCATTAATCTTCTGCTTGGGATTATCTGATGCAGGCACAGAGGACAGAGGCATCCTGGGATGGGCTGTATTCGGCAACTAACTGTCCTGGTATTTGTGAGAAAATAATTCCCAAATAAAGAGCAGCTGTCTCTAGTTGGCCCCCTCCCTGAGAAAGACAGATGCTATTCAGTAGAGATAAAAGTGCTCTTCCCTTTACATGCTGTCAGAATACCTCTCTTCTCTTATGTTTCCCCAGTGCACAGCTCCACACATCAGCTACACAGCTCTGACCATGTGCTTTGGTGTGAGATCCAGCAGCTGGAGGAGACATAGGCAGGTGACCCAGCAGCCAACACATTGGGAAGTGCGGCCCAGCCTACTCTAGATGCAGTCTCAGTCAACTCAGTAAGCTGGAAAGCTGCTGAAGGCAGCTGACACAAATGGTGCAACAATCTAGGCAAATGGAAGGATTTATAAAGCAGTTCAGTTGACAATGGCTGACACTTCCAGATTTGACTCCCAGGCTGTACAGAGGCAGGGAAAATCATCTTGTGTGGGTTTTTTTGTTGGTAGAGCCTGGTAGGAAATAGTAATATCCTTGACTTTTAAACAGTACCCTTACAGTGTCGCTCTCCAGTTTATATGTGGCTTTTTCTCACTGTGGTGGAATATCAAGGGCTTGATCCAGTTGCTCACTGGTGATTGCCAGCCTCTTGCAGCTGTTTTGAGTGGGGCAGGTCTCCATGTGTCCTCTGTCATACTTGTAGACAATATTCCAGCCCCTCTGGCCCCTTCTCAGTACAGACAAGTGCAGAAAGAAACAAGCCTCTCTATTTCTTAAAAGCTTTTGGTAACCCCACCAACTTGAATACAGCACACAGTGTCACACAGTCAGAAAACCTTAATGAAGTTTTGTGCTCCTGGCAACCAATGCAAGGGGTGACAAAAAAAGGAAGAGCTCCTATGCAATGGCCACCGATTAAGACTCCCCAACTGAAGGACCTAGGCTTTACGGCAGGAATATTCTTTGTCTACATGCAGTGCTTTGGTTTAGGTTTTAGCCCTGTCTTTTGGATGTATCCCCATCCTGGAGGGTCATCGTGGTTGATGAGAAGTTCCCCATGCCCCAGCACCCCCAGTGTGCACTTGCAGCCCAGAAGCCCTCTGTGTGATGTGCTGCATCCCCAGAGTGTGAGCAGCAGGTCAAGGGAGGGGATTTGCCCCCAGTACTGTGCTCTGGGGAGTTTCTCCCCCCCCCACCCCCCGCAGTGCTGCATCCAGCTCTGGGGCAACAACACAAGAGGGATGTGCCGCTGCTGGAGTGAGTCAAGAGGAGGCCACAGAGATGCTGCAAGGGCTGGAGCAGCTCTGCTTTGGAGACAGGCTGAGAGACCTAGTCTTGCTCACTACACGGAGAAGTTGCATAGCTATTTTGCCAGCTTGCCCCATTTCTGTCCCAGTCAACTAATTTCCAGTTACTTTTATTCATTTTTATGAATGCAGCTTCAACTTCATACTCACTTTCAGTTTTCTACAGCCATAATGTTTAAGAACCTTTAGCATAAAACCATGTCAGGTTTTGAACCAGTCAAATCATGTGTTTCCTCTCTCCCATATCCCCCACTGTACAAGCACAAAGTGGTTTTAAGTTCAGTTTTGGCAGTACAATTAAGTTTGAAAATGTCCATTTATCACACATGCAGGAATAAAACTTCTCTCCACTTAAGCCTCTGTTCTGGAGGTGTTACTTTGATTGCCAGCAATTGGCACTGCACTGGCAAATGCCAGATATTTAGTATTCAGTCCACTTACAAATCAGGTGGCTTAATGCAAGTTTATTGACTGGTGCCTGAAGATGGAGAGCAATGCTTTCAAATACTAGTACTCACCAGTTTCTCATAATTGGAAGTAGTGTGTGACTCATTCACAGAACTTGAAAATTTTGGGAAAAATGAAAATATCACTCACTGGAAAAAAAAAGTCACATGCTGAAATTTACAATTCAGAGACACCAAAATGTACTGTTTAACCAGCCTAATGACCCTGAGGGGAGGTTGCAGGTCAGGCCTGCGGTAAACCTAGGGTCACACTTGGTGGTAAAAGGGAAGTGTCAGGGATCACATACCCCCTTCAGGTTGTGCTGCCATCATGTCCCTGAGTGCCAAGGCCATCAATGACCTTGACTGTGGTGAGTACAGGGGTACTGGCCTCAGAGTAATGGGGGGAGCAGGGGGCTATCCCTGGGGCTGTGGTCAGGGGAGCTGGGCCCTGAGACAGGGGACGCGGTAAGGTCTCTAACACGTCCCTCGGTG